TAACCAACTGAGCTAAGTGGCCAGTGATTGCTCACGGCCTGGAGAGCGCGGGCGCGGCCACGGCCGCGGCGGCGGTGGCGTCGGCGTCGGCGTCGGCCTGTGGCTGAGCGCGTCGTGCGGTCCAGAAGATCGCCTTCAGCTGTTGCTTTGGGCGAGGGGCTCAAGATGGTGTGGGGAAATGGACGATTGCTTCCAAGGAGTTGCTGCAATCGTTCGCGTGGAGATCGCCATTCGATCGCCGGGGCTGTCTTAGCGAGCGATGGCAAGTCGACGTCATGCACGGAATGGAGGCGCTTCTATTCTCGGGTGGAAGCCGGAGTACACCTTCTTGGCGTCTGCTAAAGACCTCCGCCAAGTCGTCTTGTCGTACAGTCGTCAGCCTCGGCGTGAGAAAGCGAAGATCTGAACACACAGAGATGACGACAGAATTGTCTCAGCTCCATGATTCTGCCACAACTTGTTTCTAGTCGATGCAGATGCGACTTCGTGCACCATGTGCTCGTTATCGCCTCCCCCGACACATATCAGAACGGACTGTGGCCCATCCTCCCTCAAGCGTCTAGTCTCTCATCCTACCATGGGATCCTGCAACAACGCTCCAGCGCAAACGCGCACGTCTGCCCAATCATCACCACTCGCCTCCTCGCCACCCCTTTCTCCTGCCCAGTCCAATGCCCCGGCAGCCATAACTCGTCCTCCCTTCCAGCGCAACGGCGGCCATGCCGGGAGCCCAGGAGGGAGCCAGGGTAGCTTCCCGCTCTCCTCATCGACAGGTTCGAGCACGGCCGCACCGGATGTGCCCAATCCGACAATCCATGTCACCTCGATGGGCTCGCGCACCAGTGCACCGCCTGGAACCCCGATAGTTCCCGCTCCTCTGTGAGTTCCCAACTCACTCCCCTCAAGCCCAGTTGGCTGGAAAGGTCCATCAACAGCTAACGTCAGCGCCGTCATTCGCAAGCACAGCACCATCCGAGGCTGTTATGGTGTCTCCCTCGAGACATCTGACGCGCAGCGCGGGCCCGAACCTGACGTTCGCCTCGAGACGCGGGACAGCCCGATCGACGCCACACTTTACCTCTATGGTGTGCGCGGCGGCCGAAACATCGAGGTAGCGCGCAAGGCACGTCTCGACATTCGCACAGCGAGCACAGTGCGCCTCCGTATCCAGCGCGATGAGAACGTCAGCGTCGACGCGAGCGTCGCGACGACGAAGAGTGAGTCCAAAGCCGGCGGAACCGGCGGCGAGGACTTCGTCCCCATGCCGTATCTCCACAGCAAGTGTCCTGGCGTGTGGAGGTCGCGCCCAGCTTTCACAAGGTTTCTGTCAGCTGACGCCACAGGTCGTATCCACCTCTGGCTCCCGAACGACTTTGACGGTCTTCTCACCGTGCACTCGAGGAAACACACGTTGTCGCCCTGTATCAAGGACATTGCCATCGCGCACGACATTCCCGGTCAGACAAGCCAGACCTGGGCCATATGCCTCAAGAAGGACACAACCGATCCCGTCCTCTACCGTACTGCTAGCAACTCGATCCCCGCCGAGGCGGGCGGACAAGTTGGGCGCGAACGTCGCCCGAGCGCGACGGCGAGTGACGCCATCCCGCCCCAGCCCCACCAGAGACAGCCCGGACCCGACCGTGTTTTCGCTCACGCCCACTCGAGTGTGCGTGTGTATGCCCACATCGACGAGGAGGAGGGGAGCAAATGTGTCGTCATGTAGCGAGACCCGTACGTACTCTACTCGAAACTCTGATATAATGAACGTTATGCACACTGATAGCGGTGATAAGGCGTGAGATTGAGCCATTCGTGGGATCTGGGGCACCTGGTCACCAAACCCCCACAACGTCCGGGGCGGCCGACGAGTGGATCTTCCACCGCCCATCACTTTTGTAGTTGCACGCTACGTTGTCGCCGTCTCGCAATGCTTAGAAGCGCCCAGGAGAGCCAAAAACTGACCTCTGGCGGGGTCGAACCGCCGACCTTATGCGTAGAACTCGCGAGTGTTAAGCATACGCTCTAACCAACTGAGCTAAGTGGCCGAAGATGAAGGCATGAGGGCGTAGTGGCCGGCGTGCCCTCGGCGCAAGGGGCGCAAGTGCGAGCATGCATGCATGATGCGCGACAGTCGCCGGCCGGTATGGCCCAGACGTTGGAGGACGGGTCGCAGAGATGGACGAGAGGTTAGTGGAGTGCTGTGGAAAGTGGCGCTCAAAATTCATACATATGTCCTAAACTTCAGATATCTATTCTACACGCTTCCTTCCTTCAGGAAGAGGTCGTCGAAGTTGTCCTTCTCTACCTGCTCGACCGCAGAACGCTCGGCGTGAAGAGCAATGAGCTGCTTCTTCACGATACCGTGCGCTTTGCGTGCTGGGAGGGCGAAGAGCTCGTCCATGCCTTCGAGGGGGATGCCCGATGTTTCCGGAATAATGAAGTAAACGATGGGGATCGAGCACACCATGAGCGACGCGAAGAAAAGGTACACGCCGTAGCCCATAGCTGAGAACATTTGAGGCGTAAAACGGGAGATTAAGAAGGCGAACAGCCAGTTTGAGGCGGAGATGAACGCCTGTGTGGCGGCTCGGATGAAGGTGGGCATGACTTCGGCGCCGAACACCCACGGAGTTCCGTTCCAAGAAGGGCTATAGCAAATAGTCCATGCGTAAAATCCGACGAGAGCCGACGTTCCCCCGGGGCTAAGCTTGCTGCTGGGGTGTTCGGCGGGTTTGGCGACGGCGATGTAGATGGCGATCCAGTACATACAGAAGGCGCCACCCGCGGCA